TTGTGTGTGTGTGCGTGTGTGTGTGTGTGTTTTTGTGTGTACTCCTCCTCTACTCCTCTACTCTCATTTAATTCCTTCCATCTTGTTCAAATAAGTTCATATAAGTAGACTAATTCTGTACAGTTTGCAATTTTTGTTCACACTTGGATGCTTTGCTGTTAAAAGCAACTGCACATTATCTTGACTTTAAGTCATCAAAGTGTGATGAAGCTTGTAATCACTGCACAAGTACTATTCGTTAGTCGGCATTTCCATCTCCACACAACAGTTTGGCACATCATTGCCAATACTCTTTTCTAAGTCACTGATACTATTTAGCTATGATAAAATGTGCTACTGTAATGGATGATTGATGAAAACAAAGCAAACATAGTAATGTGATTGTCTCCTTATGTATAAAACCAAAAACATAACGTTTTGTGCAGTTCTACATTTAGTGTTGATAACATTATAGACTCCTCTCTCATTGTTGCAACACAGTGCTGTGTTCCATGTAATGCCTCCTCATGCATAATGTGACTGGTTGCTGCCTGAAGAAGTCAGATGTCAAAGAGAGTAAACTTGTATGAATGAATGGATCTTAAGCTGTGTGGTGGTGATGTGTGACAGTGATGGAAATATGACCCAGTCAGATTATATTTTAGGGTGTCTACACACATGTCAACATGGCAGATTGTGGAAAGTCAACAACAGCATGAAAACCAGTGTGACTGATTCATGTATGCACAGCACTGGTGCCACCACACAGTTGTTGCATTCACTGTTTGGTGTTTGTAGGCAGCTTATATGCAGTGTCTGTTTTCCTGTATTTGCAAAGGTCAGATTTGCATCCCTGCCTGAATCATCCATAACAAAATCACATACAGTGCCAGGGAAAATGCCTTAATGCATTAAACATATCACACCTAATCTTTTACGAGGGGGATGATATCAGTAATTTGTCACACCTGTCATATGGCATTTCCTTTCGATCTACTAATTCGTATTCTGTGTAAACCTGAAGATATGGTCTTGTATGCAGCACAGTGAACCACTGCTGTAAGAGTGCTGCATAGTGTTCATATTCCATTCTGAGAACACAGCAGATGTGTAAATGTATTTATTGTATATGACATTTTGACAGGTGTTCAACTGTAAGAGAAATACAAATTTCATCACCACATGTCAAAGATGCTGTATAACTGTCACCTACTCTTGTGCTGTCGTTCCACTGAGTGTCAGAATCACATGTTGATGCAACTTTCTCAGTGAGTGTACAGTATTATCATGAGCTACCAGAGTAAAAGACTTGTTGTTTTGGATCAAATTAAAGAACTGACTATTTACAGTACAATATAAAAGACCTATGGGTATTACTGTAAATTGGATACCAAAGAATAGGCCTATTCTACATTTAGAATAGCACGCCTGTTTCAAAAAGCATTTAAAATTGCAGAATGAAAACAAACTTAACCAAATTTAATGGTAAAAAAAACAACTAATTTTGGCACTCTATCAATGTTTGATCAATACATACTGATCCCACACTGTTACTGGTAAAAGATTGCTACTGAAAAAAAGGTTGCTTCACTAATCACACTCATGGATATTAAAGTAATTATCTTTAAGATTTTCATCAAATCCCATTTTTGCTACTATTTATGGTTGGCATTTTTCTTAATGGATGAAAAAGGACCAGCCACAGTGAAGTGTTGCACTCGACAGACTGTACAACTGTTACTGTGCCCTGCTGTTGTGTAAAACACTGCTTGCACTATGTGCAGCATAAGATTATGGTTGCTCATGATATGATGGAAGAGGGCCAATTATTGACTGACTCAAACATTAGTTGGTTTGGCTGCACTGTAACGAGATACGCCACTTGCTCTCATGTTGTATTTCTTAGTTAAAGGAGTGAGTGCTACCCCCAGAATTATGGGATCTGTAGTATTGAACCACAGGTGTATCAACCAGGACTGAAATCTTAAGGATTATAAATTTAAATCTTTTGGAATATTAATTAATTAGTGATAGTCATCCCAAATCGCGTGTTCTTTGATAAATGAGGGTTTCAGCTATGTGCTACAACAGAATGGCAGGAGGCCACAGTCAGTAATTGCAGGGGTTTCCAATGGAAACCAAACACTTAACAGGAAACAACAGCTCACTCAGGTGGAGAGGTAGGTAGAGACGGCTTTCTGGCACTCTGCATTATCATACTAAGTCTGTAGCAGTAGTGTTTTTTCCAACAACACATTCTATTTGAATATTCAGATTATCAAGAAAATATATAAATTCATTAGATTTCACAAATTACAGTAACAGGTCAAAGTGGATAAACAAAGCACAGTAACATCAAAATATTCTCCATCATTAAAGTCATGCATCAGTGGAATATTTGTATATACATTCTTCAAAAGGTATAGATGACTCATGTGCCATCTGACCAGTGTTGGTAGTTGAAGAAAAGACCTCAAGACAGTGTAAGCATACAGTTTACATACTGTGAGTCTTGTTTTCTGGAAAGCACCCTTTTCTGCCAGTTGAGCTTCCTGTTCCTGTTTTACTGATATAAGAAATGACGAATGGGGACACAATGCCTATATCCAAGGATTTGGAGAAGTACAGCACCCAGTGCTGACAGTCTGTCTTTATGATGACTTACAATTTGACGGAGCTGACAAATGAAAATAGGACCTGCTTTCTTCCTCTTGCTGTTAACACAACATTAAACAGGATGTGCCCAGAGAATCACAGTATCCCAGCCTGACCCATGGAGGCAGTGGAGAGGAAAAAAAAAAAAAACTAACACATTAAGGTTCTTCTGAGTCACTGGGCATCTCTGTCTGTCCCCACACTGCATGGATAAATGCACTTGGGAAGACTTTGTCCCCTAATTTTATTTGTTGGATTTCTGCTGAACCCTGACTTGTGTGGAGCCACTCATTTATGCACCGGCACCATTTAATGCTTTATTTATAATTCAAACAAAGCCACTCTGTGGGGGGTCTGCATAGATATTTGTGTTCAGATACAGTAAACAACTTTTTTGAAAGTCAATGATGTGTCCTAGCATGTAACCAAACCAGACTGATAGCATTGCAGTATGAGAATTATAGTTGGTTGGACAATATTATAACATAGATTGCAGGGATCTGAACTGTTGGTTCATTATTGGGATATCAACGTGCAATATGCATTATGCAACGTTGTTTGTGTGTCTACTTTAAAACCTCACATTCTTATCAGTGCCAGTGGAGCCCTTGTTTGCCATGGGTCCAGGATACCAAAACAGAATAGTAGAGACAAACAACATCAACAATGAACCAACAACAAATGGATTCCATTCACATTTCACTCTAGTATGGCAGCCATCCAGTGCCTGATCAAGACCTGCAAAATAAACAGACAACAAAAACACATTTGTTCGAGGAACTGTAATGTTGCAGACTCACTGAAGGATTTTTATGCAATAAGAGATGCATACAGTAATGAACACACAAACATGAATTATAAAACAGCACACAGATCTAGCTTAAAATGACATATATGTTTTTTTTCTGTTCACATTTTCAGTACCTTTAGACCATTTTATAGATGTTCGATGTTCACACTGTAATGGCAAAACTGTACAACATCTCAAAAAATATATGCAAAATTGTCGATTACCACTAAGAGGCTTGGCTGAAATGAATGACTAGACCATTATCACAAACAAAAATGTATGCCCAGCTCTCCTTTGTTGCTTCCTACTGTTGCTTGAGGGTTCATTTCATGATTCGCAATCCAGGTGTTTTTATTGGTATATTAATGTGTTTTTTTTGTTATTGTGAGTTTGAGGTAGCAATTTGATATATAAAGATCATAAATGCTTCTCGTTATAATGACCGTAAATGACTGTTAAATCCTGCTAAATCCCACCTCCCTTAGTTATTGTTGCTACACCAAGCTTTACCTTCTTGTACAGGCACATATGCAGGTTATAGTGATACATAACTAATTTACTAATATATAGTAATCTTTAAACAATGGGTCCTTGATTTCAGATTCCTTGTGATATTTCAGACAGGATTAAAAAAACAACACCAGTGATTCACTACAGCCCCGTGCAGGCTTTGTTATATGGAGAATTTGAAAGCTTGACATTCCTAGCAATTATTTTTGTTGTATTCAGACCTTTAATCAAATCAGGTTTTCATACTGTTGCTGTAATTTTAACAGACAGAGAGTATAATGTCAATAACATCTCTGTTTTGTTATCAACAAGTGTACACAAACGCAGTACATCAAAAACAAATCTAGCTAAGCTACTTGTTATAAACAAGCTGGACTTTCATGTACTATTTTGTTTAAAATCAAACAAACCCTATTAGTATGGACATAACATAATGTAAGTGGGGTTTTTTTAAGAAGTGGTTAAAATATCAGACTTAAATAATGGTGTGCTGTTAGCATCTGCTCAGTATGCAATTATTTTATTGCCGTCAGTAACTGACCATTATACCCAGCTTCCTGGAACTCTGGAAATGCTTTGGCAAACATATTTTAAGTGAATGTTTCATTGTAGCAATGAAGCTAAGAGAGACCAACTGGAGTACTTGACCCAAGTCATTTAAAGAGGATATAATAGTAATTCTGAGTGCAATGATACACTTCCTAATAGCATTGTTGAAAGACCCCTACATCTCCCTTTGAGGAAAAATATGAAAGTTTCAGAGGCAATTCATTTCAACTGGAGAACATTATTCATTAAATCATCAAACATTTCAGCCAAGAACCCATTAAGTCTACAAAGTAATTCAAAACACTAAGACTCCTCCGCCACCTTGTCATGTGGTTCACAGTAACTCATAGGTGTGAAAATGACACAAACCCTGACTCACAGTTTGCTTTCCAATGCTCATTCTACAACAGATATCTGAAAATTACCCAGGGATTAATTGTACAAAAAACATCACAAATACAATGAACAGTAAAAGCAATTATCAGCTATTTGATAAAAACGTTATGTTCTGTGTTACTTACTGTGCTATTTTGCAGTTAGTTGTTCTAACAAAGCGTCCTGTATAGTGAATGTTACACCTGACCACATTGTTGGTGAAGTCTGATTCCAGCACCAAGAATTTGGGATTAACCTGGAGCTGGAGACAATGGACAGAAGGCAAATTACAGTTCATCATAATCACACAATCTCAACAAACTTGCGTCAAAAAATGTATTTGGGATAAATAACACTGAAAACCATCATATATAGATTTTTTTGTGTGTGAACTGTACCTCTTACAGCCATATTGGCCAAATAAAATATGCATGAAAAACAGACAATGTGATGGATGGGAAACCAATGCCACTGAGCCATGAAGTGCTGTAACTTAAAAAACTCTGGATAACTAGTAAACTAAAAACTTTATAACTTTATAACCCAGATCATTTTGTTTTGTTATAGATGTGACCCTGTGCTGTCCACAAACCTGCCATGTCCATGCACACCAGGTCCTCACTTGACTCTTACCTTCAGTATGTAGTTTCCAGGTTGGATGTCCGTGATATCGATCCATTGGCAGTCAATATCAGCATTGTATGTATCATAGCAGCCAAGGGCTCAGACCTTGAAGAAACAGGGGTGGAGGGGTGGGGTGGGGTGGGGGGGAGAGACACTGATGAATACTGATCTGAGTCAAAAACAGTGGGAATTTTAAGTTGTGGTCAAAAGGTATATATAATATGTTGCAACAAATATAACAGGTCAATGAATAACATCCTGCTGTAGCAACAACCTACTGTGGACAGTGGATATTGACCTGGTGATTAATATAGCATGTGGTGGAAAGTGGACCAAAAGTATTGCGGGTGACCACAAAATCTATTCTCTATCTATTGTCACAATCTCCACTCATATTTCTGCTTGCTGTTTTACCTGAGTGTGAGCAGTGCAGGCGTAGCGCTTCAAGTGACCAAAGTCACAGGTGGTGTCCTCCAGACAGAAGCTAGCCTTGTGACCCTCTGCCACTTTACGGCCAGTGCTGACTTCCAGCAAATCATAATGGCTGAACTCGTCCATACTGTGGTAGTGCCTATTGGATCAACATGCATGCAGTCAGAAATTAAACAATGAAAGAGTTCAAGAGTTCAAGATTGTTCTAGAATCAATCTGTTATGTCACATGTGCCTAGGCAACAATATTTAAGTAGAAGTTTATCAAGCCATTTTGTTTAAATTCTGTTTATCAAAGTTAAGTGTAGAAACTCTAAATTCAACCTGTTGACCTCATCTGTTAACATTTCTGTAAGTGATGTTGCACCTTGACTGAACACATCATTAAATATGAAAGGACAATGGATACTAATTAATGGAAGCAATAAAGTATTGCTGAGGCACGGCATTAACACCCTAATGATGTATGATTGTTGTTAATTAGCTTGTATCAGTCGGCAAGATCAGAGGTGTTTGTGTGTGTTGGTGTGTCGGCATTTACGTTTTTTTTTTTTTTGTGTGTGAGTGTGTGTGCTTGTGGATATTTTAAAGCTACCTGCACATATTTGCGTGAGCATGTGTAAGTTTGTGTGTGTATCATTGTAAGAGCGCATTTGTGCGTGCGCTGGTTTCAGTGTGTTTATGTGTGTTTGCACAGCTTTAGCAGCTTAGGAAAGCCTGGATGCACATGGCCACTGATCATCTCAACTGAACCGGAATATGAACCAAGTGACTCTGAGTGAGTGAGTCTGTCGATGAGCTGCTCCATTTGACATCATCTGCAATATTAAGTGCGTCATGGCTTGGACCTCTCTCGGATGCCAAAGTGACCTGAGATGCTGTTCACTTTCTTTTTTTTTACAAGCCTGCTCTGAACATAATTGTGGTACATGCTAACAAGTGTATATTTGCACTGAGCGCGGTGACAACATAATTCCATGTTGATGGGGAAAGCTCTACTTTTGCTCATTATTTTGATGGATTTATGCACAGCAGCAGTAACTGAATTATTGAAACACACATAAAATTATTATAAAAATGCCCTACAGTCCCATTTGCCTTTTTTTGTTTCCCCTCATCTACATGATTGAATGTTGCTATGTAGCAGCTTAATTGTTCTAATTTTTCATTTATTTCATAAAAAGATGCATCTAATAAAAATACTGCAAATGCAAATTCAAAGCTGTTTTTTACAGTGATTTTTGTTTCTGTGTGCACACGTCTGAACAGCCCTGTCGGCCAGCGTAAAATCATTACTGCAGTGGATGTTGTGGAGTATACTGTATACCAGATATACTATGTCATATGAACATAGCAGTAAGTTGAGTTGTGTTGTCAGAAATACATAAGGTAAGTGATACGCTTTAAGTGGCACAAACCTCATGGAATCAAGTGTCTGTTGTGGAGGACGTGGAGCTCTGCTGAATATGAAGCATGGCTGTCAGGTCTCTGGCCATGACATCATTTGTCACAAGCACCAACATATGCAGTATGTTACGAATGAGAATCTGGTCTTTATATCTCAGACAGCAAAAATTTCTAGGCTACAGTACGTAGGATTTTCTCTGCACACATATTTGAAAATGTACAAATAGCCAAATCTATGACAATCTAATGCACCAGCTTAACAATAAATCCTTCCTCAGAGAGGTGTTTAACTAACTCTGTGGCCACTTTGTTTCTGTTGTGCTATTGTATTCCATTGTACCGTTGCATAGCATTGTATGTATCATAAGTTGTTTATGATGTTTTGTTCTACCCACTGACAAAATGCTCAACATTAGTCTTTACAGCACATATAATTGTATATTAACAATGCAACAATTAACTGTATCTAATTATCTGGGAGTCATTAACATACAGCATCATAGTGTTATGATTAAGGCATGCTGCCAGCTGCTAAATTTCCTCATTTGAGACACAGATAAAGATTTTTTTTAATGAAAACAACCAAGAGTAAGAAAGTTTCCAGCTTCTAATTAGAAAGTACTGGAAATCTGTACTTGTTAGATTAGGTAGTTACCTATTTTCACATATCATATAGAAGGTGTACCTTCCCTTGTCGGAAAAAATACAGCTGTCATTTGCAATAAAGGGGTTTCCTCTCATGTTACCAAAGTTGCTTGTGAAAAAAATAGATTAATTAATTAATTAAAAAAAAAAAAAACACATAAGAATTAGCACAGTCATTTTTCCTAAAGTTCTGATGAAGCTTGAAAGCTGACAAGGTATGAATGATTTAGAAACTACAGATTAGAAAGCAACACCTCTTGAAACTGCCCAGAAGTCTTTTAGATGCAAAAACAGCCTGCAACAATGTGACAATGTTCTTTAAGATGACACCCAATTGAAATGATACAGCACAGGATTTAAATACGCCTTCTCGCAGTTATTGAAAGTATTTCTTTCTTTCCATTATTCACTGACTCTTAAATTACTCCACACAGTATACTTAAGTGGTGTTGACTTTAGTTGTTGTAGCAGGTGAGGTAACCACTGGATCTCTTACAGTCAGACAAACTCAGACTATATAAATATTGCCCTTTCGCCTTACTTCATGGCCCATGTTTCGACATAGCAACAGCTTTTACTGGAACAGTCATTAAAGATTGAAGGATGACTTGGAAGGAAAAGTGGGTACTTTCCACTGATGGAGCAAGTGACCATTCAAGGACTCATTCTTTCCATAGGAGAGGCAACCAATTAGTAGTTACTCTCAGGTAGAAACCTGTCTGCTGTTATCTGGGGCTCCACACTACCTTTAGCGTAACTATGGGCATAAATTACTCTCCTGTCTCTGTTGACATGCAAATGTATGTGTGTGTGTGTGTGTGTCTTTTTCATAGGCTTATTTTATGTGGGGCACATGGTTATGCATTAAATTTGTGCGATGCATACATGTATGTGAGTAGATACATTCACATGTGTATGAATCAGAGCAGGAACTGGAGGGCCTGGAATTTTGAAGCAAAGTCTTTGTTTGTGTCCCAATCCTGGCATTCATTTCAGGGGCAATCTTGAGATGATTATCTACAGTATATGTGTGTACGTGTGTGTGAAATAGAAAGACAGAGTACAGGGAAGCAGAGAAAAAGATTGAGAGTGGGAGGAGCTGGACTACGAGGTGCTTGGAAAGGTCCCCAGCCTCCTTGGATTCCTGGATCCCCTCACTGACTATGTCAACTATAGAGAATGTAGTGTTGGAAGGACACATAAAGGATTTAACAAGAATAGCTTGTGATCGTAATATACAAAACATTCCAGGTTGTCTTCGTAGTCATGAGTCATTTTCCACTTGTGTTGCAACAAACAAGACTTTGAAGGTTTCTCAGATCACAGTTTGGGTTGTAAAACACAGATGACTACAGTAGGTTCTTTGAGAACTATCCAGCAGTGGCCTGACATTTGCCTTCCGTGAAGTGCAGTCAGGAATTGAAGACATATGTCAAAGCACCTGCACAAATAGCAGCCATGATCTTTGACCACAAAGGTCACATAGCTTACTGAAGCTGACTGAGATAAATAAAGCATAAGCTGAAGAATCATTTTATTAACTTTTGTAATATCAAAAATAAAAGTTAAACCAAACAAATCAAACACTTTTAATAACTTCCCATGCCTCTCACGCTGATTGGCATGAAAAAATAAGTTCTACGTGGAATTCTGTGTACTCATTTGGGTAAGAAAAATACACAAATTCCAACATTTTCACAGCCTATGATACTCAAGAGGATGCTGTTCCCTTTCTTTCTTCTAATACTCAAGCGAGAACGATAGGAGTGAATGTAATGAAAAGCAAAACTGTCAACTACACAGCTTATTTGACAAAAATGTAGGGCAGGAAAGTTTATTGTGAGAATCTGGGCTAGAGATTTTCTTCCCCTAAAGAGATTTCTTTGTAACCAAACACTGCGTCCCAGTAACCCACATCCATGCCATCATACTTTAGCAGCTGTGTGATCTGGTGTCACAGATTGACAGGAAAAATGGATTGATTTGTCATTCTGATCACACAGCCAGTGGAGTGATTGCCTTGGCTTTCTGCCCCCTGGGAACCACTGTGTAAATGCAGACTGATGTCAGACAGCAACAACACTGCCAATCTCCTAACGGCCAGTCAACATTCCTCTAAGATGAGGATAGTAAAGCAGGGCCTGGCACTAGCGTCAGTGGGCGGACTTGCTGAAATTGAGATAAGAGCCAGTCTACATGGAATATAATGTCATAAAACAATGACGATAGCCTCAGAATCACCTCATCAGCAGTACCCCAGAGATGTTCAGTCTAAGCCACTGCTGCCTCGCTAAACCAACTAAAATCTGTCCAATGAGGAAGACACAATGAGAAAACTGCTTTCTGAATTGATCAAACCCACAGAGCTAAATACCATAATTTTTTCTGTGATGTGAATTTAGAGTGTATTGTACTGCTCTATTTCACGCTGGGTTGGCTATCAAATGAACTCTATAGGTTTGACCCCTCCTCCCACCCCACCACACACCCCCAACCTCTCTCCTCTTTAGACGAGAATAACGTAATATACTGTGTGTGTACTTTCTCAGCCAACCAGAGCAGGCTTTGTCCTTTCCTGCACTGTAACCATATAGGGCACAATATGGGGCTTATGACTGTATGACACCCAATCTGCATTCACCTTCAGTCAAATGACATTGACATGCACCACGTCAACTTTCTGGATATGGACTCTGAGTGTGCCTCCCAACACTTTGGGCTGTTGCTGTGCAGCAAGGTTGTGCTGGTATGAACCAACAACCACACAGTGTTGTACTTCAGAGAACAGAGAACTCTCACTACCCTGAAAACCCACCATGAACCCAGACATTTAAAGTTCCTCCACAGATATGTTTTAAACTATGTAAAAATACTCTGCCATGATTAATATTTTGTTTAACATGGTTTTCCTACATAAAAAGTGAAAAAAAATTTGCAAAACTGGGGCTGGAAGCACATCTACTTTTACTTTCTCTTTGAGAAATCTGGATCAGACATTGTGCCCCACCACCGCTGCTTACGTTACTTTGAAAGAGCAGAGCGTATCAAGATGGTTAACGGAGGAAACAGCGTGAGTCTCGGCCACACATATTTGAGCCTCAGTCTGATCCAGACTCTGGAGTTTGCTGGGGTGTGAAGACAGTAGTAGTAGTATCAGAGCAGGAAGTGTAATTATTTGTTTGTTAGCTTGTATCTTGCAGTGGCTGTGTTAGTGGCTCTGTTACTGCAAACTCTTGCTCTCTGTAATGGCGACAGGTGGATGTCAAGCATGGTTAGGGTGAGAGGAAATACTGGAGAGAGTCAGCTACATGTTTGAGCCTCCGTCGGACCCAGACTCAGATGAGGAGAATATCAGAACAGTTAGTGTAGTTAGCATCTTTTTTTGTTGTGTTTTAGCTTGTAACCGGCAGTGGCTGAAGCAGCATTAAGGCAATTTTGCTAAGGCAAATTCTAACTCTCTGTACTGACAAGATGTCCGGTTTAGTTAGCCCGTCCCCGGCCCAGCAAGTTGACAAGATTGGTTCCTTAGTTATATGACGTATGAAACCCCGGCTGCCATTGGTTCACTGCAGTTCCAAGGTGGAAATACGCAGTCATGGCGCTGACTGCTTATTTTGGTCGTGATATGACTTGTATTATATAAAAAACATCATATGGACATGTTAACAAGGTTAGAAACTTGATTTTCATTGGAAGGGGTCATTAGAATATTAGTACCAAGTTTTTGATGTCCATGGGGTGGCACATTACCAGAGAAACGGCAACTGCACCCCAATTTTTATAAACCAGGGCTTCATCCAGTCATTTACTCATTAAACCTTTTCTTCTTCTGGTGTCCACCGAGATGTAGTGAGGCCAGCTGGGGTTATTAGTTTGGGTTACATCCAACTCCCAGTGATGAGAGGGTGAGTGCTGCTGCTCCTGTATTATACAAAGTCTTTAAGGTTTTAACTAGAGGTGTTCACCACATATCAACAGCCTTTCACAACACACTCACTGTCACCCACTGTCATCTCAGTCAGTAGTAGTAGTAGTTAGGTTTCGTACAAGCTACATAAATTGTAAATACACTCTGTTATAATGAAATCAGATGTTTACTAACTAACTCTCTGGCTACCACAGCGGCTGATGCTGTAGTGACTAAGGCGTGAGTAGCTGATTGGGTAAAATCTGTTTTGTATTAAGCACTTACTGATGACAGCTATGCCACTCCCAGGTATGACGTGGCCTGTTAGGCATGAAGTCGGCAGTGCCCTTGTTCTTCACCCTCTGTGGGAAACGCAGCAGGACCCGTACATCATAGTCGGTGGCCTCAGGGCTATAGGCAGAGCTGAATGGTGGACACATACAACAAGACAAAAAGCGGTGAGGGAAACTGCACAAGTGGCTTCAAAAAGAATGTCGGCATGTCTGTTTCTCATAACTAAGACAAGGAAAGGAAAAAAAAAGAGCAGGACTGTAAAGGCTTGGAGGCAGGAGAACAGCTACTAAATAATTCATTCTACAGATTACAACCATCTCTCCAAACACACAGTTTCAACATGGGGAGAGGGAACACTGTGTTGTACAATACACTTTTTTTGTGTGTGAAAAAGGAGGCACAACCTCGAGTTCACAGTACCACTGAAGATCTAAGCCATTCGTCTTGTGGCTGTTGTTGACACTGGAGTGTATGGCAAATTACAACAGCCCATCTGTCGGTGATTGCTGCAAACTCAGACAGGATATGAAAGGGCTTTGAGGGATGGCTGTGCTTGTGATGGGAAGAGGGCAAATAGAGCAGCCATGGGGACAGCGCACTTCCATCATTTCAATAGTGTCCTTAGTGCACTGACAGTCAAAGGGCCCAGGTCCGCGGCTCAGGGGATGCTATCCGCCAACACAGAGAAATGAAACTCGCGGCAGCCTGCATCCCCGAAGGTGACCGGGATTTAGTACACTTGTGTTGTACCGTTGGTCAACTTTTTTCATTATTTCTTTTGGATATTATTGCACAGAATGCGTATAATTCTGAAGGCTACATTACAATTGTGGATGGTTCACTCACTGGTTAATTTTACCCAAAGGTGAAGCAGCTTATAAAAAATTGTAATCATAAAAGAATTTACATTTTCTTGATCCAGCACAGGGTATAGGCTGGACGCACAACTAGTCTATCAAGAGGCTACACTAAGACAGGAAACGCAATTTATTGTTTCCAATTTAACATAACTTTAATATCTATGGAATGAACTAAACACTGAGTCATGATGCTGCCCTTAAGATGTAGCAGAAACCATTGAAATGAGAACATTGTCATTAACATGAAAAACAGAACTGATAGGGCCAAGATCATTTTTGATACTGCGACAGCAGAATGAACTCACTGAAAAAGTAAAGACATGTATAAATAAATAAATGCAAGCCAGTAAAGGACATCCAGAATTGGGTTTACCTTGACAGACATTTTTCCTCTGCAGCGCATCGGAGAGAATACATGTGGGCTCTCTGGATGTAGGTGGAAGCCTGGACATAATTGGGATCAGGAACCAGGTCAGGCAAACCTGAAATGATAGACAGACTGCTCAGTCTATATTGTCATTGTCCATTGTCAGAACTTTGCTACTAAATAGAACAGTAGTTTCTTCACAAATCACACAAAGCTGCTCATAAGTGTAATTACTTATACACATTATTAGAATAATGTTTGTAAGTGTGGTTAAAGTTCACAAAATGCATTTATAGCACTGTTATTATGATCTCATTCATAACTAAAGTAATCCAGATGTCAGTGATTGATCATTTAATGACAGGTCGCCTTTTGATCTCTTAATTCCAGCCAAACCGCCAGTGAGCTCTTTTGCATATTTGTCATCAATTTTTTATTACCTGGTAAATATGGTGGTGCTGATGGAGGATATGACAGGCAGTAAAGCAGTAACAGGGCCCACAGTTCATGATTGGGTCACTCTAGATAAATCCATTGGCCACTAATTACTGTGCATTCCAGATTATTATCATGGTTTTCTAATGAGACGCTTTTGCTCACATGCCTCTCAGACAGGGGTGAGTTTGGGGAGAGAGAAAACAAGGGTTACATTTTGGATTTTCCAAATGTAACTACATCTACAGTGCATCCATTTTCAGTGTTGAATACATTTGGTTTTCAACCAAATGTATCTTATTACTAGGGAAAAATGTCCCAATACTTGTTTGCTTTCTTGGCTATGATGTGTGATGTGATCTTTCATGACACTAATCTTAATATGCATGTGCCACTTTATCTTAACATTTAACATAGCAAACATAGCATGACTACTCATATCTGTTGGGGGTACGGCTAAACATGGGAGTTACAGTATCACAGGAGTTCTTGCTGCAATGCAGCCTGTGTTTTTCATACATTAGTTTCTGAAAACAAGTGACAGAGATGAAGAGATGTGGAAAGGCATAGGTGCACAGAGATACAGCGAGAGAGCCAGACAGAGACAGAGTGAGGGAAAACATGCATACCAGGGTAAAACAACAGTGATCTCACACCACTCCTGATTTTAAAGTGGGCCACTGTCCAAATCTGTCAGAAAACCTGAGGAAGGAGTAAAAAAAAGAAAAGCAGGCCTGACTTGTCAGAGTAAATGTCTTTCTGTGCAGTTCCCAATGAAGGCCATACCAGCAAGGGTCTCTGGCATAGCTTATCACCCCTCTCTACTGAGCTCACAAAGGCCAGACACGCTTTAATGTGAGATTGTTCAAACAAGTCAAAGTCAAACCATCTGACCTCTAAGCCTGTAAGCATTAATGAAATCAAAAATGATGTACAATCTTCAATTTCTGTTGTAGCATGTTTTAACAAAGGAATAGAAGATGATTAAATAATGTTATCTTTTGATTTTAGTCTAGCATGAGGGGCTTTAGTCATGGTTTGTTTATGGAAACCAGATAGGAAGCTTCCTCTTTCATATTTGCCCGTGTTTAACAACCAGCTGAGTTTCCCCTCCCCAGCTGCAAGTTTAAATAAGGGCACTGCGTTTGCGGGCACTGTGTAAACATCCCATCTGACAGCTCTCTCTGAGGCAGACATATAGGACAGGGGGAAGCGTCGTGGGGCAGACCACGTAAACACTGTAAGACCAGTGTGAAACGCAGAGGTTTTCCAACAGCACTCGCAACTCTGTTTTTTTTCTCCTCACCCTAGGAAGGCTTTGTTCTCTGCCCCCTAATCTTTTGAAATGTGAAATTGGGTCTCTTTCAGAGGGATAAAATGTATTGAGAAGCCAAAGCTGATCAGCTCTCGACAGCATGTGACAAAGCCACACATTACATTCTAAGTGGGGCACGGAGAGAAGAAACTGGTTCTTGCCAGGCTTTTTATACCATCTAATATGGCATAATAAAAGACACAAGGGCTCCCTCTCTAGATACTCCTGCTTTAAGCTATAGGCCGTTTAGCTGCAGACGACTGACAGATTGAAATACTTGGAATTCATTGAGGTCATTTTACAATGAAAAATCAAAAATCAAAACAGCATCAATATGGAAGATTCTACTGTCAAAGCTTCCTTTGTCAGGCAGTATATACGGCAGTATATACTCTCTACTTTCTCTTGCATCTTATCTATTTTCATGATTATCAGCCACTCTGCTTTTGGTTGTCAGTTGACACATTAAAGATTCATTTCAGCAATGATGAGGTACCAAAACTTCCTTTCCAATTTGAAGATATCATGGTAAAACTAATGAGTGAAATAACTGTGGTGCTGCCTTGATGAATTAATCTACCAATTACGGTTTAATTATTCTAACCAATCACTGCTGGTGGCTTTGTCAGGGAATATGAGAGTAAGGAAGAGTGAGATGAAATGACAACGTGCTGCAAAGGGCATAGTTGGGACAATATGCAGACGTTTTAAACCAATCTTTGCCATGACACTTCATTAAAGACAATTCATTATTCACAAAACCACTGCAACACTGCAGCTTTCAAAACTAGAACACACTCAAAGAGAGAATACCATCACCAAGGCTGCACTATTCAAGTCAGATTACTCTCAGCAGCGACTTGGTTAGAGTACAGCTAACACAGAGTAAAGTGCCCTTGAATTTGTTTGCAAATAAGACTCACTGTTCTTTGTTAGTTTGCCTAGTGGTACAAAATAAGGATTTCTCAGGAAAAAAAATAGAGAAAGCAGATTGTGGCTGAGATTCAGGGGCACACCTTCCACTTCAGTCTAATTAGAACTGGTGTTTTGTGCTCAACTAATTTGCAACAGGAAATATGTTTTGAAAGAAATGTTGTGCCAACCGGACTCAGTTTTTTCATAAAATAATAAGGAAATGTTGTCATTTAACACATAGAACAAAAATATTGTTACATTTGTTTTTTGCCAATATGTCCAATCTTACAATACAACACCATGTTGTAGTGATTATGTCACATGTATGTTTAACAGGGAAAAAGTCTGTGATGACTTGAGTCACAATGTGGTCATCAACATTTAACTAAAAACCATGATCTTTCTTCAACCTTAATCAAAGTGCTGTTGTTGCTTGAAACAAACCACAGAGGGGAGGCAGGATGCAAACCCTGGGTTCTGGTGTGCGCTTAGTTCACCCACCATCCAGCCCCACCAGTGCGACTCCGGTGCGGTAGATAAATGTAACACTTCATTCACTCCAAACAACTTTGCCTCTGAAAGTAATCCAGGCAGAGGTTACATTTGTCTGTTTGCACCTTGTGTCAACTGCACATGACTTGTGGTCATTGGCCCCATAGATGTCAACTGATGTCAGAGCCAGTGTGAGAGAGGAGACACTTGCAAACTTGATAGACTGCTCCAATTTTACACATGTAGTGAAATCTATTTGCTTAACACTTCAAACACACAGTACATACACTGTGTTGAGTTCTGGCTCTCCTCCTGCCACACTCTGCTGTGTGTGTTAAGCCCTATTCACACAGTGAGATTCTGTTAACAGGTTGTCTGTGGAAACATTTGACAACTTGAATGGGCAGTGACTGCACACTGGAACTTGATTCATGAAATTAAACTTAATCACTGCAGTTATCTGGTTGGTTAATCATGGTAATGCTCGCCAGCTCGTTAACCTTAGTTGTACCTTTATGAACTGACCTTAGTTGGCTACACATGATGAGATAGACTGAGAGACTTTATCTGAATTATTTCATGAGCAACCTGGAGATTGAAACTGATGTTTTTTGATTCTTCAATTCTTCTTCTCTGATACCTCACAACATTGTATTTAAAGAAAGCGGTATACAACTTCCCTTTCAAGTTAGTTTTAAAGTTGTAGATCACAATAGTTATTACAATACAAAACAAATACAAAACAGCCTAATGCCCTGCGATGAAGCGATGCAATAAAAATGTCAGCTTCTCCCAATGGCTGAATCTTTATCACAATGATTACTGAGAGCACTAAGGCCTCTGCACATATGTTGGCTTTTTGTGCTGTTAGAAATGGCTCCCAGCTCTAGAGTGTCTAATGAATGATAGCACACTAGAGAGACTGCTGCACAGTAAGGTAGATTACTGGATAAAACAGAGGGTAAATCTGCATCATCAAGTGCCTGAGAATTTCGTTGGAGGCCCTCATCTCCTCTCAGCTCAGACCAGACGCAGCCTCCGGCGGTTAGAACACAGAGAAAGTTCACATGTTGTTTGCATTTAGCTAAGTCGTTTTTTCCCACCATAGACAATAACAGAAACTTCTTCCTCCTTAGCAATGACAGTGTTATTAAAATAAATGTGACAAATTGCTAATAGATCCAAAGAAACCTGTTTTTTCTCAGTCAGGGTACAGTGCGTGTACATGTTCTGACACTCCTCACCCCCCCTCAACCACTCTGCCTGAATATTTCTTTGATTTCCTGTAGCTGAAGCAATGGACCCCATGTGTTACTGGGACTTTCCACGCTCTCCTTCCCCCTCAAGGAGTGGTGAAGAACTGTATCCCCCCTCCTCCCTTGTTTCCCCTCTCCTGTCCTCAAGCCCAGGAGGCAGCCACTGCCCACCACCCCCACCCCCATGTCACCAGCCCCCCAACCCCTATGAGGTCACCACCACCATTACCAAACTCCACACGACTCACGAACCAGTCTCCTCTCTTGTAGCACAGAACTCCCCCCACAAAAAAAAAAACACAGTGGTTCTTGTGTGTGCTCTCTGTACATTGGCAGGACTTGCTCAACACCTGGTTTCAATAACCATACAAGTGGGAAAAGATGAACCTTGTGTCCGCCTTACTTTGTTTGTAAACTGGAAAAGCGGCTGAATTTTAAGCAGCTGTTTCATTCTGATGACTTCAGACCTCTGACAAACATGAAAGAGGAATATTGGAGAAACACGATTGTGTAATTGGGGGGGGGGTTGGTGAGCTCTCTACACCCCTGGGTTTTGCATATTTCAAACTCATATGTCCAGCAATAACAGAGATCACATGGTGAGCTTTTCATTTTCTGCCTCAAAGACAGAAATACCTTGGATGAATGCCTACAAGTGAAAGCGCTCCATTTTTCCCCTGGAAATGTGAAATATTTTTGTTTAATCTGCAGCTATTGTCACTCTTCTCATGTCTCCCAGCCTCTCCTAATATTATCAAGATGTGGCCAAACTTCCTGGACAAAATGGGAAATAAAGGACACATTGTTTTAGTTCACAAACACCCAAACAGACACTTTACTGTACCTCTCTGCTCTGGTCGGTACACACTCCCAACGTTCATACTGGGGTTCTCCAGGGCAGAGTTGGGAGAATTTCTGCCTGGAGCAATGGGCTGCATGAAAGGAGGCTGGGGTCTTCCAAATGGGGGAAACTGCTCATACTGAGGGCTCCTGATTGGTTGTTGACCAGCTGGTCCTGTCCTGTCCACTATCATGGTTGTGGCCTGGTTGGCATCGGGGGCAGGGATAGCAGGGAGTGCAGGGGCAGTGTCCTCGTTGTAGAGACTGTGGGTGTATCTGTGGTCCAGACCATCTGCAAATGGTGGTTGGGCAGCACGTGCAGGCACCGCAGGATTGGACCCGTAGCTGTAAGATTGGTAGTAGCGGTAGCTGTCGTCAGTAAAATCAGAGGGCGAGCCTGGGAGCACTGGGGCCAGACCACCACCTACATACCCCCCTCCAGTAAAAGCCCGGCCAGCACTGTATCCTCCACCGCCATATCCCCCACCGACAGCAGGCTGAAAGGGAGGCTCATAGCTCCTGGCTGGTCCCTCTACGTAACTAGGGTCGTAAGGTACTGGTTGGAAGGGCGACTGTTGAGGAAGAGGGTACTGTGGGTATGACGGTACATTATAAGAGGATGAAGAGAAAGATGATGATGATGATGAAGATGAAGACCCTGCAGATTGCCTGAAGCGAGTGCTAGAGGATCCCTGGAACTGGCCTCCACCTGTGCTGCCTGTGCTTTGTCTCCAATTGTCAGGCACTTGCCCAAAGCCAAAGGGATGCCTTGCCTGCCCGCGGACTGTCTCAGAGGATCCTCTTGATGGAGCCTGTCGGCGGACATTGCCCCCCTGAGGTCTGCCTGAGGAGCGTGGGCGAGAATCTGCCACAACCACCCTGGGACCTCTGTCCTGGGTTCCTGTCCCAGCAGGGACATATTCAGCTCCACTGTTCATCAGGCTAAACACCCGACCATTGTTCTCCCACTGAATCACCTGCCTCCATGGAGTGGCAGCGCTGTCCTGCCCCTGGCTGCGACTCCCCTGCCCCTGAGTCTGTGTGGCAACCTGAGCCTGCCCCGAGCCCAGCAGGACGAATACCAAACATGCCACAACAATATGCAACATACCGGCTCCAAAGATGCCACAGCTCACCACACAGGAAAAAAAAACAAAAAACCCTCCAAGTCCACAAGAGGCTCAAACTCAAACCACCTGTAGCTCTGTCAATAAAACATGTGTATCCTCTTCCCGCGGGTACAGTGCTGGTGTGAGTGTTGAGACAGATGCAGGGTTGAGAAGTAAGCCTGTGGTTGAGTGCATCTGCAGGTCTTCACTGGCAGCAGTAGACAAGGTTGAACATGCATACAGGGGCAATAACACGCAGGAGAGTGAAAGTGGGCTTCAGAAGACCCACTGGTGGCGTTACCGTGTGTTGGTGCTATGAGAATATGTCCTGACTTCTTGTCGGTCTGCTGGCCCGTCTGTCAGTAGACTGAGCATTGCTCTCTGCCTTCTGGAAAGAAGTGCCTGTGCACTGCACGACTGCAAGCTTCTATTTGCCTGATTGCTTACAATGGGCTGTGAAAAAAATCTCAAACTTTTTTTTTTTTTTTTTCTTTTTTTTACACAGAGGTCCCACATGGCCCTAGTGCTAGTGAGGTTTCCTGGCCTGCAGCAGCCAAGGCTCCAGAGTCAACATTACCATCTGTAAAGGCATTCAGACATACTGTATAACACATCTCATTTTCAATGGCTTTAATTCTTTTCTCATGTTGTACAAGCAAAGAACAGGACAGTGTGATCCTGATTTTTCCACAGGTGTTTCAAAGGCTTGTAATGTTGTTACTTTGCCTTTAAACCTTTAAAATTTACAGTAACCATGTACAGATGGGAAATTACCTAATTGGTAACAGGGGCATGCTGTCACAGAGAGCCACTTTGTGCCATATCCTTCCGTAAAATATAATATAAAGAACTGTTGAGGTACAGTAAGTCATGTGTTTGCACAAACAATGAGAAAATAATCAGAATATACTGCCTGGAAATATTCAATATGACCTTATATGCATGAATCTCACCCCTTCAACACAATTCTACGTTTATGCGGTGGATATGTTGGGAAATGTGTTCTGTACACCCCACCCTTAAGAATATCAAACTGAGGTCAATTAAGCAAGCGTTCAAAGCCCTCCTCCCACCAAAAACACACACACAAACACACATCACCACCTCTCTCCACCCCTCATTCCCCTTGCTGCTTGTAGTAACACTGAATGCACAAAAGACATGCATACATGCCATGCTCCCCAGCAAGACAACACCGTGTGTGTTGCTGTCTGTGAATACTATCAAAGCACTGTTGCACTCCGAGACCCCCTATTACACAAATGTTCAGAGAGACAAGTCATTAGTAAACACAATTCAGGCGGGATTTGAAACAGCTTGGTTACTGTTCGCTTTGATAGAGTGCATGCAGGCAGAATTAGGTTTCACCCTGTTATCAAAGTCAGCAGTTTGTGAAGGTATTTTCCTTGGAATGGCTCGCAGAGGCAGCAGCCACAATGTACCACAGACCAAAGAAAGGACAACAGTCCTACTGGGCTGCAGCAGTCAATATTCCCTTTGTCTCACTAAAAAACAACCTGATTTCAATATGTATCTTCCCCCACGAGCAGGCAACTGAGCTGCAAAGTGAAGCTTCATCGGGATCATTTCGGAGGAAATGGTTGACCATGAGAGTGCAGTGGAGTGCATCAATATGGATATGATATCACTACATATGTATAAATCACATCTGGCATACAGACATGAGCAGTTTCATCATACTGCTCTACAATGACTCAGTGACACATTCATGACTGAAGCATTTTAACAACTTCACATTGTATTGTGCTCCTACTTTAACATGAGTGTTTGTATTTTCACCAGTGAACAGCCTGTTACAGAGTTACATCACAGAAACAGTGCCATCATTTGTGGAAAATTCATACAAAGTCAGCGTGTTTATGAAATGCTTCCTGCTCATACAAAATATGAGATAAAACCTTTGCTGTCCAATATTATTAGATCAAGATAAGACTTTCTGAGAGCTCAACAAGACCTTGTACTGTATATTCAGCATTAACAGTACCCTAACACTGGCATCTATTCTACTGCCAAGTGACAAGCTGGTTTTATCAAATCTTTTTTATTTTATTGATTTATGTTCAGTACCCTCTTACATTTTGTGTAGATCTATTTGCGATACCTCATGTGGGGATTTTACCTTAAAGTGACACAATATAGAGAAATTCCTCGTGGAAGGACAGTGTCAAATTCTTCTGAGGTTACACTATCCCACTTTGGTGCTTTTTAAAGCTAGGATTCTTTTACATTTTTTTTTTTTTTTGGATCAGACTTGTTTTCATCTCTTACTCCTTGCATTTGTCTTACATGCCCTTAGACTTTTCTATGGTTATGTTAGGCTTTTTTTTTTTTTTCTTAATTACAGATTGATCCCAGGGGATTTTTCCTCTGAGACAGAAATTGCTGCTTTAAAGATGCAGACCAACAGAGAGCCTCAGAATGCCTTGAAATCCTGTCACTGAAACATTCCACAGAGATTAGACTAAGTTGTGAGGCAAGGTTGGTTGTTTTTGTGTGACTGCTGTGTGTGTCTCCTGTCTGCTAGAAACACCGTGTATCCTGTGAAGTACGCTGAAAGAACGCATTGATCTGAGTGACTATGCAGCACGGGAGGAAAGCCCAAGGAGCAGGCATCCTGCTGAGAGCAACCTTTAGCTGCACAGAATCAGAGCCAGGGATGCTTATATACTTGAAACTACATTCAACTTCTGAGTCAATGTAGACAGTAGATACAAGCTCTCATATGTGATGCTACAGCTAACTTATCTGTGTTTATAGTCCAGAATACTATTGAATAAATTGTTGCTGATTATGAAACATAACTAATGTACAAACTAATATTGTGGCCTTCCTGCATCCTATCGAGGAAAAGTCAAGTCTGCTACACAGTGTTGCTTCGCCTTTACCTGAAAACTGGGACTAATCACAGTCTTATGATCAAACTGACAAAGGTTTCTGCTTGAAAATGTTTTTTAATCATGTTAGAAACCACTTTTGTTCTGTCAAAAGAGATGCCTGTTTTCCATGGAAACTGGTTTTGCACACTGCAGATTTCTTGCTAATTTTGACAGCTGACAACATGAGATCACATGAAGAGAAGAGATGTCATAATTATGAAAAAAATCTCTCTTTCTTACAAAAGAAAAAAAATCTTTCAACTTTGCAGCTGTCAGATGCTGCAACAGTTGCGTTTTGAAATATACTTATTTGATCCCTCCTTGTTCCAAAAATGAAATTTTCTAGTATACAAATAAAAGGTAGATGAAGAACATACAGAAAAACAAGAAAAGTTATATTGGCTGCCATTTTAGAACATCTCCTGCCCTGCATGTACTTGATATACCCTGCGTTTGAATTAAAGGATTTAAAATGGAACAGTGCAGCTGCAGCTCAGCAAACATGTTGTTAAAAACTGAGCTTTCTGTGATGGCTAAATCTGTATATTCAATGCCAGACATGACGATAAACCACTTCCTGAAGTTGGTTAAGAATCTAACACATTCAGCATTTTGTTGTCCTACAGTTTCCCTTCCCATCTGTAATCTGCTGGAAAAACATTAAAAGATTGCTGCGGCTGCATTTTCTGTGGAACATTTCCAGCTATTTTGCAAATGATTTTTGGGTCATAGTATCTTTTTTTTAATTATCATTACATCTGAACATTAAAGATGCTGTGTATTTGTTGTTTAGGAGCATTGATGTGTAATGTGGATGTGAAAATGGGTCAGTTTAACAGTTCACACTCATTGTTGTAAAACACAAGACATGGACACAGTGTATGCAAAAAGAAAATGCCAAACTGAAGATTCATATAATTATATCATCATGTGAGGCCAGTATGTACTTTGTGATTGTACCAGCCATAAAGTTGTACCACAATCTCTTATCTCTTTCTCCTTTATCTGCTTTACTCTACACTCTTGCTAATATTAAGTAATTACTTCCATTCACAATCCTAACTTTCACTCCTCCGTGGCAGAGATACAACAGCTGAGGTTGGTGATTGCAAGCACATTTGGTCATACTGTTGGAGCAGTCAGCCTTTGAAGTACCCACCTGCTTTCCATTAATTTCATTTTCATTCAAGGAGTGTTATCAGGCACCTGCACTCTGTTCCTGGCTCAGAATCAGATACCAGGACACAGAAACAACAAAAATGCCTTCAATCATATGGGAAATTTACTTCCCCCCCCCCCTTCTTAACACAACATCAAAATGAAGCATGTGATTCTAATAAAAAAAAAAAAAAAAAAAAAAAAATAAAATTGGTATTGATGGACTAATCGTTTGACCCCAAGTATATTGTAACAAAGTATACGTGTTTTTCTGGATAACATTTACATATAGCATTTGGAGCATATTTGTAAAATGTGATTAAGAGACATCCAGGCTCCTTTACGAGGTCCTAAACGCATGCTGTGAATATGTGTAATGATTAAAGTGCAGCATCACAAAATGCAGTAAAAGCTAATAAGCCTGCAGCTAAGAAGATATCAGATTTTGTTAGACAATACCACCTGCCTCATAGTACATACTATATATAATATAATATAATATTGCAAGTGCCAAGATGAAAACCTCAGGTGTTTTATATGGTGTTCTCATGCTTAAGTCAATTAAATTGGGTTTCCAACTCCCTCCCCATGAAGATGTAAGTGCCAAGATTGTCTTGATTGTTCCCAGTGGGATCGTTCTGGACCTAATAGTGCTGCTCATGTCGTTTCAATTCTTCTGGTAAGCAACTGCATCAGCAAAAGGAGGAGGAGCAACTATAAATGGGGTAAACATACCACATTTACACCTTTTGTTGGCTAAAAACATGATGTAAAAATGGTCATATGTCTCTGATATTTTCCTCACAAGGATAATTGAAGAAAGACATATTGTCTGACTCCATCTGTAATTAAGGCACCGAGTTCACAGAACCTTCAAAATACTTTGTACTAAGGGGATGAGATTATTCAGTCCCTGGATGCCATTGACCTAATGAAGTGTAAATCAGGTGGTAAGGATGGAGGAGGGAGGACACAGAGAGATAATTGCCTAACAGGTACTGTACATTACCTTGTCAATGGCTGCCCTCCCCACAGTGTGGTGGCATTAGCAAGAGAAAGTGATGTGACTAATGTTAAATGCTGGTTTAGGTTATAGCCAAGGGAACCGGGAGCTGTGGGGCAAATCTGTGCTTGTTTGGCGCTGATGTGTATGTACATTAATGAAAAATACACCAGAGTGTAACAGGCTCATGGGGAAAAAAAACACACAATTAAGCACAGCGCAGATGCACATTAACACGCACATATACCTGGCTCAGGCATCCATACACAGATAATACTGTAGAAAGTATGCACTTGAGGATCCCAACACTTTATTATTCCTCTCATGCTCCTTCCATAAATAAGCCAGATTTGATGAGTTATGAGCACTTTC